GAGTGCAACACAAAACTAGCTGTTCTGTGGTCCAATTCTAACGGGTCTAAGTCAAAGATAAGCCACCATGAACACCGCGTTGCACTATCTAGGTACACTCTAGTTCGCTGCGGACGGTTGGGCGTGTCAGGCAGTATGAGTGTTCACACCGTCAAAGCCGTTCTCTGCCTTCTTGTTGAAGCGCGCATGCGACAAAAAGTGGTAGAAAACGAGTAATACGAACGATATGATACAGTCATATCACTTGCTCGCTTTAACAACTGGTGGAGAACGGGTTTGGCACCGCGCCAAACTCATCCCGCCTGACACGCCAACCGTCCGCAGCGAACTTCACTATTATCCATAACAAACCACTCAAGATATGGGGCTCTATTGTTGTTATGACTGTGTTCAAAGTTGGCCTGCTGGTGTTTTGGGGAATTCGCCTTTTTCGAAGCCTTGAAGGATGGAGATCGGTTCACCATTTATTCAGTCGGATAGCTCATAAATTGGTTTCCATCCTTTCAGACTCCGGAGTAACTTATTCACCGGGATGCCGTTTAGGCAATAATAATTGATTCCAACCTCGAGATCAGTTAAAGGAGTAATATGCGCACATCAGAACATTGCTGAGATTCACGCAGGGTCAACCTTGGCGCTGATAAGGATACTGTTCATACCAAACTACTGCCACCTTTCAAATTGGACACCACTCAATTGGAAGTGAATTCTTCTCAGCAGCAGAAAAAGTGAATTCTTCTCAGCAAACTCCTTTTTGGGTTTAGTGCGAATGAACCTAATTTCCCTCCTTACAAAGAAACCATAGAGAATAGCACGCAGTGGGGAACATTATGCATTCAGTGACATGACTGATCCTTGGAACCACTATTTTCAAGGTTTAGATCAAAACTTCTGGACAGGACCTGTCCTGAGAGTAGTTTGGCACACTGGAGATAATTATAGCATCGATTGCTGTTTGTCGTACAAGGGCTGGAACCATAATTTCGGGACAGTGGTTTATCCAACTCTCAAATGTGTGTGAAGACAATGTTTCCAAGAGAAATGTTAGAAACCTGCTGGAACTCGTGCCACAACTTGTGCCAAAAACGCCGAACTGTCCCTGAAGACCGAAAGGGCTGTGAAGTAATTCTATTATTGATCAACTGCCCTTAAGCGATTTCGAACACTTCTTTTTGAAGTGGAAATGGCACTGCGCCGAAGTGAAGAGTTTCTACCGCCCGAAACTGTTACAGCAAAAACACAACAGAAACTTTTTTCAGCGGGCTCGGGAAAAAAAGTGAAGTCCAATTCTTATTGCTTCAGCTACTGTTTTTGGTTCAACGAGAGGGCACATATGAAGGAAGGCATGAGAACTCGTAGTCGCACACAAATTCAACAGCGCGTCACAACAGGAAAGTTCCCTCAGAAGGAGGTGTGCGAAATCGCTCAAGGACAGTTGATCAACAACAAACGTAGTGCTTCACATGTTTACTTTTGGTCTTCAAGGACAGTTCGACGTTTTTAGCACAAGTTGTGGCACAAGTTCCAGCACCTTTTTAACCATTTCACTTAAAACATTAGCTTCACACAGCTTTGAAAGAAGTTGGATGAACCACTGTTCCGAAATTTCGGTTCCAGCGCCTGTACGACAAACAGCAATCGATGCGATAATTATCTCCAGTGTGCCAAACTACTCCCAGGACAAGGTCCTGTCCAGATCGAGTTTTGATCTGAACCTTGCAAAAAGTGGTTCAAAGGATAATTCATGTCACTGAATGCGTAGTGTGGAGAACTTTTACCAGTATTCGAGCTGCAGAACCCTCCGTTCTGAACGAGAGCGTGTCCTTGGAGATTTGATGATAAGTATGGAAATTCCTGTAAGGAATCTGGTGCTGTATTCCTGAGGAGCGCATACATTCGTCAATCGGACATTATTACCGCTGATGAAACTGAGCGGAGGAAGCAATAGTGGTGAGCAGTAGTGAGATGATTTCCGGAAGATTTTAGAAGGAGGCTGAGAAAGGAGAAGCCCGTACTCACGTGTAACCTTTGCACTGTCCGAGGTCAGTACGCTTTCACCTTAGGTTAGAAAAGCACAGCAAGAACAGGAAATTCCCAAATGCATAGTTGTATCGATGGAAACATCTTTCTGGTTAGGCGCCGTACATAGCAAACTGGTTATCATTGGGTAAGTGAAATGAGTATCTGAGTCCCTGAAAGAAGGGTGTCGCCTTGTTACTTGGAGAGAGCACCTCGGATCAACTATCAAAAGCCGGGATCCAACCAGGTTGTACTTTTCCGTCCAGGTCAGTACGAACCTATCCCCGAATGACCGAATCATTCCGTTGAATACCTGCGCGGGACAAGCTGCGACTGCGGGTTTATTCAGGTTTTGCTGTTTTTGTAGAAGTTAAGCTTTGTCCATTCTCATAGACGGCATATAGAACACTCTAGCAGACAGAGCAAGTGTTGCTATCTGTTTCGTTACAAAGCCCAGTCACCATAGCTGGGTGCAATAGCTCGATCTTGAAACTTACACGGAAACTGAGTGGTCGAGTGAGCTCAGTAGTTCCAGTGATCCTTACGACCTCGTCCAAATTGGGAATTTGAAGATACGGGCAGATAATATAAACACCCATTCGACGAATCTGCAATAACTTCATTGCCATGGGACAACACACCTCGGAATCGGAAAGGAAAATGAGCACTGAATGAATCAGTGTCATCAATGTGTATATCAGAGAAATTAAAGAGAATTGCTGTGAAGAACAGGACTGGCTACGAGATGAGTGTGAGTAGAGCAGAGGTGACAGTATGTACAGGTAGTCCTACCTCATCGGCAAGTTCAAATCGGTCTTTTGTTGGTGCGTCCACGTCGCATCTGGTTATCTCTTCGCCATTCGACACAAAAACGAGGAGTTTTTGCTCTCTAGTCTCTTTCTGAATGGTTTGCTGATTAGTGGCCTGAGAGCGATCATTTGACCAAAACGTTAGGCTCCCAATGAATAAACTATCTATCAACGTTGTTAGGAAAGAAATCAATTGAAAAGAATTCCGTATTGCTCCGATTTTCTCGAGATGTGCTGGATTTCCCTTGATTTATTCATTGGCTTTCTTGCTTTACTCGCTCTCTTAGTAGTGCTCGACGTCGATCCTGCTGGCACATTTTGTGAGAAAAAGCGCAGTTTATCACAAGAAGGCCAGCATATTATTTCCCCTACCTCGATTGACCCAGACAACCAAGTAAGGTCAACAAGTCAGCCCGGCCATTACCAATGGGGTGCCAACAGTTGTACTCCACTTGACGACGAACTCAATATACCTTCGGTATTTGCGGAGCGATTTTCTGCGCGTAGTTATGGTGGTTTTCCCTCCTTTTTCTCTTCAAAGTGGCTGTCGCCCATGAGAGCGCCACACACGACGTTCTTTGCGCAGAACGAGTA